TTGTTATTTATTGGTCCAATGGTTAGGATTTTGTTTTCTTTACATTGAGGTGCAACTCATACTGAAGACTATGGTCTTTGATCTTCATCAGTAAGTATTTTAAGTCCTCTTCACTTTCAGCAATTTCCATATAATAAGTTGGTAATGAGTCTTCCTCCAATCCTGATGCCACATTCTTCTTCATATAATCCAGTTTCTCTAATCATTTGCCCAGAATACAGATTGAATAATTATGGTGAAAGAATACAAGCTTGCCACACACCTTTCCTAATGTTAAATCATTCAAGGATCCCTTGTTCTAGTCCAGCAATAGCCTCTTGGTCTATGTACAGGTTCCTCATGAGCACAATCAAGTGTTCCAGAATACTCATTCTCCACAATGTTGTTCATAGCTTGTCATGAGCCACACAATCAAAAGTCTTTGCATAGTCAATAAAGTAAAGGTAAACATTTTTCTGGTATTCTCTGCTTTCAGCCAAGTTCCATCAGACCTCAGCAATGATATCCCTCATTCCACATCTTCTTCTGAAGCCAATTTCCTAGATTCATACTTCATATGTTCCATGTTACAATAATTAGTGGATGTTTGCAACTGTTTTTCCTCATTTTGAGTTGTGCCCTATCAGCAAATGAAGGTCCTGAAAGCTTTACTCCATTCATGTCATCATGGTCAACTCTACTTTGAGGAGGCAGCTCTTCCTCAGTTGTAATTTGAGTGTCTTCCAAACTGAGGGGCTCACCTTCTGGCACCATGTCTGACAATACTCTGATGCTCTTCATCATATTTCAATATTCAATATTTTGGTGCTATTTCACAGTGTTCCACTGCAATTCATAAGGTTTTCAGTTATTAAATACTCAGAAGTAGTCTGTATCACCTTCTACCTAGTCTGTCTTCATCTGAAACCTGTCCACCATGGGTGACCCTGCTGGTATTTAAAATACTGCTGGCACAGCTTCAGGAATCACAGCAACATGCAAGCAACCATAGTACGACAAACTGACAGACAAGTGGCGGTTCCCCATCTTAGTTAATGGTAATTCCAACCTCTCAGTTTCTCAAGTCACAGAGTTTCAAATAATCCTTAACTCTTCTCTTTCTTCTACACTTGATACCTCATCCACTGACAAATCTTGTAATATCTACCTTCAAAATATATCTAAAATATATGTACTTTTCATCACTTCACTGCCCCCACTCTTGTCCAAGACACCATTGCAACGTATCTGGATTATTGCAAGGTCTATGCTTCCAACTTCATTTCCTTCAGTCTATTCACAACCCAACTGCAGTACTGTCCTTTTAAAACCTATGCCCGAGTGATGCCAGAGAAGGAGGCAGAGAAGATAATGTGAAGAGATGGAGCAGCTAGGGATTCTGGACTCAGAGAGGGAGAGGGTTTGTGTGTTGATGGCCGGGAGGCAGGCTTGTGGAGTGTACCCTTTGGTTGTTTGATGATGCATGGACAGGATTGTAATCATTGCAATGAAATGAAATATGATAGGATGAATGTAATGCTGGTATTCTTCCATGTAAACTATCACATAATTCACAATAAACTCTTTAAAAAAAAAATCTATGCCAGATGCTACTCCTCTACTCAAAGCCCTCAAATAACTTTTCAGAGCTGAAATCAACATCTTTATTGTTGTTGTTGTTAAGTGCCGTCGAGTCGGTTCTGACCCATAGTGATCCTGAACAGGGTTTCCAAGGCTGTAAATCTTTACAGGAGCAGAAAGCCTCACCTTTCTCCCGCGGAGCAGCTGGTAGTTTAGAACTGCTGACCTTGCGGTTCGCGGCCCGATTCGTAACCACTACACTACTAGAGCTCCTTTAGGATGGTCTTTAAGCTCCCACCTCCATTTGTGACTTGGCACCCGCTATCTCAGTGACTTTGTCTCCTACTTCTCTGCTTCTCAGTCCTCTACCTGGTGCCATGCTGGCCTCTTCACTGTTTCTTGAATGTTACAACTTACTCTTGCCATGGATTCTTTCCTGGAATATTCTAACCCCAGAGATCTTATAACTCACTCCTTCTCTTTCTTCAGCTCTTTGCTTGTCAGTAAGACCTTCTAGAACCATTCTATCCATACTTCAATTCCACACTCTAATCTCCTTTCCCGTCTATATATTTTTCTTTTTTTTAATTAGCATCTGACATAGTTTGTTCATTTAAATTGTTAATTTCCTTTCCTACTAGAATGTAAGCTATAAAAGAAGACATATTCTGTATTTTTGGTTCACTGTTGTATCTCCAGTGTTTAAAATGCTGCTGCATATAATAAATGCTCAATACATATGTGTTGAATGAATGAATGGATGGATTTCCTCAGCTGGCATTTGGTTGGTTGGTTTGGGGAAGGGGGAGTGTTGAAGAAGAAAAAATATATAGTTTATTCCATTCATCAAAAAGAATACTCCGTTGTTTCAAGTTTAAAATTTACTCTTTTAATTACAAAGAGATTAATTTCAAATACATCCAGTTAATAAGAAAAATACATGCAGTTTGTCTCCTCCATTATTAGGAAATATAAGAATCTGACACGTGATGAAAGACCCTTTGAAGGTAAGTATCTCAATTTCAAAAGGAAGAAGTTAATCTAACATTAAAATGTAATTAATGTTGCCAAATATTGTTTGTTACAGACAAAACAAATGAAGATAACTGCTGTTAATTCACCTTCTCTGTAAGCGCTTCCTATTGAAATGTCTTGCTTCTATTGTTTTGAAATTGTACCTAATTGACTGGATATTTTGCTCAGCAAAACAAGGAGACACATGTAAAATTCAGTCACAGAACTCTGTTAAATGTAAGAGTCTACCAATGTGCACATTGTAATAGTTGACTTACTTTTTTTTTTTTTTTTCCTGTTTCAGGTTTTTACTGTTTTTGATTCATGTGTTTCATGTGTTTTCAGGTACCTGAGGCTAAGGGTCTCTACTTTTATCACCATCAGTTATTTGCCAGAACATTAAGTAACCATTCTGGCATTAATTTTTTTTTTTTTTCCTGATTGTTGTTAAGTGATGTGGAGTCAGTTCTGCCTCACAGAGACCCTACATAGAGTTTCCAAGGAGTGGCTGGTGGGTTTGAACTGCCAACCTTGTAGTTAGCAGTTCAGTGCTTATCTTACAGCACCACACCAGGGCTTCTTTGTCTCATGATATAAATGTTAAAACTAACAAAATCACTCTCCTTATCAATCATATTGTAGGTAAAGTAAGTATAGAATGAATCATTTTCCTGCATATATTTTACAGGAATTTTTCTAGCTAAAATAATTTCTAAAATGTGCTTATAAAATATTTTTCTCAACTATCTCTTGAGAATGTACCAAACACAATTACAACAGCAGCTCAGTCCTCTGTAGTCCTGAAAGCAAGGAAAAGAGACAGAAGCAAACTAAAACAAAAGTAAAGTGTGTGTCCCCAAGCTGTGAAAGCCCACATTATGGGAACATATAACCATTTTTCTAGTCACACTGATTTCCACTATAACTCATAATATGTGAATGTTCTTACCTAAACTTTATTCCAGAAAGAAAAAGAGACTAGACTGTAAGTTAAAGAGGGTAATTTCACATACTGACAGCAACAGCCTTCCATCTAATAAGCACCAGCAGCCTATCCTAATGCATTCCACCTGCATCCTTCCCTCTGCAAAAAAGGCACTCAGCAGATGTCAAGAAAGAATGGGTGAAAAGGCTTAATTATTGCGACTTCATTTATAGGTAAAAGTAAATGTGGTTTAGTCAATGATTTATATGCCTAATAACAAAACATAGAAAGTGCTCCCCTGCAGCAGAGCCACAGTAGGCACAGGAAATCCTGAATACCATGACAAGTCTGAATGCCAGTTGTCAGGAAAATGCCAATGAAATTGAAGCATTTCTGCTGCATTTGCATCACCAATTTTAATCTCTGTATTTTCTAAGGGCCCATTAAGCACCTAAAACATTTACAATGCCGTAGATACACATTCTGAAAGAAAAAATATTTCAGGGATACTTGTGGGTAATACAGACAGAGCCTGGGGTGGGCAGCAACCCCAACCTATGATGTCAACTGCACTTAATGAGACAAGGATGTTTCATGTGAGCCAAATGAAATCTCCTTTATCTCTGCTGGATCAATAATAAGTCCAATAATGTGAACACAACTGATGTCAATAACAGAGTTAGGAATGCTGCTAGGCTCTTCTCATCTGTCATTAGGATGAGACTACTTACTCTTCACAGCTACAGAAAAGTAATGGGGTTGGAAGGATGCCATTGATTTTGTCTTACAAAAGAAGGTTCTCCAGATTCTCAAGTAAGAATTCCAGATTCTCTATCTGTTCTCCAGAAGGCTCTCAAGTAAGAATTCCAGATTCTCTATCTGTTCCTGTTTTTAGATAGTATAAATTTTCATACGGTTGGAGGAACTGAAATGTGCTACTGCTTTAAAAAAAAAAAACAAACAAAAACCTCAGGCTAAACAAGTGAAAATAATCACCATGAGAATTGTACTCTGTTGTAGAATGGTGTATATGAGGCCAAACTGTCAACAGTAATTCTAAAGCATAGATGACGAGTGTAAGGGGTAGTGAGTGTAAGTCAATAGTGGAGAGACAATATAGGTAAAGACAGTGAGAATGGTGACATTAACAAGAAGAATGTAACCAGTGTTACTGAATGGTGCATGTAAAAACTCACCAACGGGTCTAAGTTCTGCTGTATGTATTTTCATCACAATTTAAAAAGACAAATTAAAACTCAACCTGAGATTAACACTATTTTATATTTCCCCACTAAGGGAATCTTTCTAAAAGTTCATTGTTCCAAATCACCAAAGGCCCCATGTTATACCACTGCCAGATAACCATCCTGTGTGTGGAAAGGGTATTTTGTGAGGCTTTACAGGTAGTGGGCAGAGTTCTGCATGAAGATAGATTACTCAGGAGACTGAATCACTAGAGATTTTAGAGATGAAAGCAAGTGAGGAATTGTATAAGACTTACATTTATTTGCTTTTAGTCCTTCAAAGGAAACTGGTCCAATCTCATAATACTCATATTCCCAGGTGTAGTCAGAATTAGATGCAGATTGTTGGGTGGTTCTGTTAGAAATTAACTTCTGGACAGACATCTCTACCCTGCACAAATGAAGAAAAAAAGAACAAAATCTGTTAATTCATCCACAACTCACAGTTACTCTAATTGCTCCTGACCACATTCAGGAATTCAGCAGCAAAGCCCCCAGGGAGGTTGTACCTGCTAGGTCAGAAAAAGGCCTTTATCAGCTGTCCATACCTCAGTCTTACCTCATACTATGTGACTATCATTCATTTTTTATGTCCATTATACTGGAAATTATTTGTTTTTGTTGTTGCCTCCCAAAACTTAATCCAGTACCTGGCACATAAACTAAAACCAAACCTGTTGCCAATGTGTCCATTATAAATCATGGTGACTGGAGAGAGAGAGTACATAAAAATCTCTGAGCTTACAACTTCAGCCTTACAACTTATACCTGAATGAGTATGTAAAGAGGCTACAAGGAATCGATAAAACCAGTCTCAGAAATGAATTATTCCAACATATTCTATTGAGCCCATACTACACCACAATAAAGACACGAACTCTAAGTCTAAAGAAAGGGGCAGAGAAAGGAGAAGTTGACAAGAGTTGCATAATGAGGATTGGATATTGACGACCCTCAATAGAAGTATGTATTTTGTCCAATTCTCATTGTGAAATTTGTCATTTTCAGGTTTCTCAAAGTAACTTCTTTGTGAACTGTGATTTTTTGTTTGTTTTTATTGTGAATTGAGTGATAGATTATATGGGAGAGCATCAGCTTTACATTCATCCTATCATATTTCGTTTCATTGCAATGATTTCAGTCCCCTCCATGCATCATCATTCAACAGCATTTGCTTCCAATCTCTCAGTTGTTGTTTTGTTTTGTTTTGTTTTGGTGGGGGGGAGGGGGGGATGTACACCGAATCACTCAGGAATATATAACCATTCAAACACCCAAAGGGTATACTCTGCACGCCATTCACCCTGGCCATCAGCACACAGCCCCTCTCCTTCCTTAAGTCTAAAGTTCCCAGCCGCTTCACCTCTCCACATCATCGTCTCTGCCTCCATCTCTGGTGTCCCTGCTTCTCTGGATAGGGTCCTGCACTCCATTCTTCTCCCTTGATGGTTCCAGGGTCCTCTGCTCCGGGACTGCAAGATCAACCACTCCCTCCTTTTGTTACAAAAGTCTACCTTTACATTTGCAACATTCACAATCAGTCCTGATAGCAATTATTCACTATTGAACCATAAGAGTCTTATCCCCATCTCCTTTCACCAGTCCCATCCAGACAGGAAGGAAACCACTCAGTGGAGATTCTACTTTCCCCCACACCCTCTGAAACTAAGCTCTCTCTTGAAAGCTTGTAAGCCAGTCACTTTGTGCCTTTGTTGCCCACTCCCCCATTTTGGGTAGCCAATGTCTAAATTGCCCATGCCAGTCAACCCTGTGTACAGAGGGCATGGGAACTGTAATGATTTTAAACTAGAAAATGATGACTTCATTGGGAAAAGAAGCTGCATTATGTAGCACAAATGCTTACAGTGAAAATTCAATGGAGCCACTGTTCAATAGTCAGCACGACACTATGGGGTAGACAAAAATGTTAAAACATAGAAAATTATTCCAGTCATCTTTCATTGTAATAGGGAAAGACAAAACTAACAAATCATAGCAACATAGGGATCATTAAACTAAAATAGAAGCTGAACCCAAGATGTACTGAACAGACACTACCACCACTCACCTACCCCCATGCTTTCTGGAATTAAGTCCACTTCTACCATAGATCAGAACAATCACCACTTCCTCTAATGAACAGCTCTTAGGAAAACTGAGGCAAAATAACCGCCATCAACACATGGCCCCAAGTCAGGCACCTCACCTTCCCTCATCCCATCTTCCTCCATTCTCAGCCTTAGATGGCAAAAATGAGAATCCAACCCCTAGACGCCATATTTTCTAAAGGATCAGGTTATGAACCTAGTCTAGTCCAGAGTTATGCAACCCTGATCAGCCAGTCAGACCAATACTCTTCCAGAGAAAGAAATGAAGATGCCAATTCTCATTTAAGAAATAAAAGTTACACAATTCATTATAACAAAAGCTGACCTTTGCTTTCCATAAGTCTTCATTTACCTTCAGAGGCCCAGGACATACACATCAATACCATTCCCCAGTATCATCTTTGCCTTTTTCATTATTTGAACAAGAGGTTATTTTTCTCACCCATGAAAATAAATTTCCTCAAGAAAAGGATATTGACATCTTCAACTTAGGTGGTACTATCTTCATTTAAAACTTTCCTCCAGCGTATACATGGGCTAAGTGGGATAGTGGTAAATAATGATTTACATACAACTTTTAAACAACTGTGTTCTGTGAGTAGATACGTGGATCCAGAGACGAGATGACTGGGTGAAAGACAGGGAGAAATGTTTAAGTGCTTGATTGTCTTGAGGATTTTGTTTTCTATGATCCTACATTTTCTATGATTTGTTGCTATGATCCCCTGCCTAATATTGTAAAATAGACATGTAAGTGTGATAGAAATGAATATTGGGATTTTTTTATGACAGAAAGCTTGTAAGCCTACCTTCTGCCTACAACTGATTAAATTTGCTAAGATGGGAACTAGAATTCTCCCAGGGAAATAGCCTTCTTGATAAGTCTTTTTAGAGTACAGGGCCTTAGGTAAAAATCATGAGCCCCACTCAGAACCTTCTGAGTTGGGATATTCTCACTTGAAAAGACATACAAACCAACCCAGAATGGCCAGAAGAACAGAAAATTCTTATTAAAAGAAATACCTTCAGAAAAAATGGACTAATTTACTATATGAATATCAAGCAAGTTGCTTGATTTGGAGGCATCAAGGAAAGAAAAGTCAGCATGAGGGAAAAACTCCCTTCTAAGACTGAAACTTAAAGGGAACTCATGGGAAGTATAATATACTCACTGGTGATCATCTGGGTCTACTTGAGAGTGGAAGTGGGGAAAATGCAGCAATTAAGACATGGGCTGAGTTTGGCCACATTCCATTGACACCCACTGACTTGAGATGAGAAACAGAAGAGGAAGGGCTGGCTGGTATGAAGTTTAGGAAGATGTGTGAATTACTAAACTCATGGGCACTGACCTAGCCCATAAAGGCTAGGGCTGAGAGTGAAGCAGCCAGCTGATCTGAAGTGCAGGGAGTTGTGCATGAACTTCCAAACTTAAAGCTAGTACCATTTGACCTAGCTTGGATGGCTAGATAACAAGAACTCGAACTAGGGAGATAAAGATGTTTGATACTGAGAATAAGTGTAAATTGCTACAATTTGATGAACTAGACTTTTGCCTATAAATACAGTGACTCAAAATTCCAACCAGAATGGAAGAATTCTTCAAACCAAGGAGCAGCCTTGTTTCCTCAGTGTACTGGGTTGATAGGAAAGAGAAATTTGGACATTGGCTACCAAATTTGGGGAGGGAGTTACAAAGGCATGAAGTGGCTTGCTTATAAGCTTTCATAAGTGTGCTTGATGGCAGAATAAGGGGGCAGGAAAGAGACATCAAGAGTAGATTGGATAAGAAAACAAGATCCTTCAATATGTTGTCTACACGAAATTTATCAAAAAGATGGAAACATCCTAAATACCCATCAACAGAAGAATTGCTAAACAAACTTTGGTTCACACTCACTATTTTGAATCTAACAATCACATGGTTTACTATGCTGGGTATGGATGCAGGCCATGTGCTCACCAGTCATCAGGCTCTGTGTGTGTATTTCACCAGTTGTCAGGTGATTGGGGTGAGGGTGTACAGGTCCCTAGTCTCCATATTAGTAGGATGATAGGTCACACCCCAGGTGCATCTAAGTCACTAAGTGGGCAATACAAGAGTACACATGATCAATCAAGGGGGAGTGGGGCAGTGGAGGAGGGCAGATGATGTGGGGTACACCTCCAGTCACCACCAGTTGGTGACACTATAGAACACTGCAGTTCCCCTAGAGGGTGGGGAGCATAAGCTACCAGTCATTGACCTTGTGGCACAAGAGTAAGTGCCACTGGTCATTAGGGACAATAGAGTGATAGCAGGCAGGAACATACCCCACAAATTGGTGGGGAAAAGGTGGATGAGTGTGTGTTGTGTGATCCAGAGGGATGTGCACCATTTACTGCCAAGGTAGAAGTGTAGCAGTGGGTAGGAGTGCATACTACCAATCATCTGAACCATGGTGGTGGAGGGGAGTGGGGGTAAAGATGTGTGCATGTTACAGCCCTCCAGGGGAACAGAATTGTGGGTAGGTGCAGGGGAGCACTCTAGGCACACACACCATTAGCCAACTGTCCAGTGGCACAGGGACGTCTATCATAGACTGCCAAGCAGGAGAGGGGCAGCAGAGGCACCACTGGAGACAGTGGACTCCAGACCGTCCTCAGATGGCACCAGATGGGCAGGGGTAGGATGGTCACACCTCTGGCTACCAGAAGTGTGGGAAAGAAGAAGGGAGAGTGTACTACTCCCATCACTGGTCAAGGGCATGGGTGGTGTTAGTGCACTCCTAGGCAAGTGCAGCTGGCTATCAGGTATATGCCCTGACCCAATGTGAGGACAGTCTGGAGTCCACTGTCTCCAGTCACCACTCCATGGACCATCCCATCAATGTGCGTCTTCAACCTCAAAGATCAAGGATAACTGCTAATGAGTAATTCTGTCCCTATTTTCTGGCTCTCCCCCTGTTCTGTGGTCACCTGGTTCCCTGGAGCTCTTGCCCGCTGTCCTGCACTTTCCTTTCTTAAATCTACTTCTCCTGCTTCACTCTGGATGTATCTATACAGTCTCTGTCTTATTGAGGATCCCATTAATTTGCCTTTCTGTGCTTGTCACCTGGGAATACTACTTGCTTTATTTTAAGATGGCCACACGGTGTTGGACCAGCTGGCATGGCACCTCTGCTCCACATCATTCCTCTTTCACTGCTTTTGTTCAGTTTCTTCTTCCAATCCGTGTTTGATCTAATTCTTTATTCTGTCTTAAAGGCTTACAGTTGCAGGATTATCATCTGTATC